TAACGGCCAAAACGGCGGCTGTAACACAGTGAATCAATATATTTGACCGTCGCAACCCGAGCAAAATGACTCGTTTCGCTATCAGAATGTGATCCATTCGGTTGGTAACATTTGAAAAGGCTACATCAGCCGCACGTTTACAATCTTACCCCCATTTACGTTAGCGGAGGGCTAAATCGGAAGTTAGCCTGCTCGGCCAGCAAAAGTCAACACAGTGGACGCTGTCGCGCTACTGCCGACTAGCGTTTGGGGGTGTAATTGCAGAATGACGGACACACCTACGCACAAGTATGAATGCATGGCTACGTGCGCAGCCTATGGCGTAGGTATGCACGTAGACCCTACGCAGGAGTATAAATGGGCCTTAAGGATGGGCTGCTTTTCTTATGCCATTGTAAAATTTCTGGTTGGACCAAACGAGACATTTAAAGATGTCACCTCAGTCTCTAAGAAGTTGTGATGGCCATTTTTCACTCTTTTGACATTCAATAGACCAAATAATTTAATTAATTAATCAAGAAAATAACTATTGGAATAATCTACAATAAAATAAAAATGAAAAGAACTCCCCTGTGACTGTATTTGTATTAGGGTTGTAACAGCATTTCAGCCATCGTGGGGATGTAAAACCAAAGCAATGAAATTTGTGCAGATGGCTCCCTAAATCAGTGATATCACATGCAGTTGACACCTGAAATAACATCCCAATTAGCCAAATGAATCATTAAACCAATAGTGACTGAGTGCAGAGTATTTTGCTCGGCTTCCTCAAATAGTGAATGTGTAAAGGAGTGTGTAATGCTCTCCCAAAGCTGCTCATCTGCTCAAGTACTTGAGCCCCTTCCGTTCTTCCCTGTAGGAAGGCTAATGACAGACATGTAAGTAGGCAGCGTGACCTGTTCAGCTGCACATGGAGTTTATTTGCTGTGGTTTTAGCTGCAGCTTCGACGCTCAGCCCCCAGGGCGCAAATACGTCTGTGGTGCGCCAGCCCAGGGAGCAGCAATCTGACAAGCAGTGCAGACCTAATCCAGGCCAGGACTGGGGCTGTGTTTGGTATGCATCCCCTAGGTGTGGAATAAATACAAGGCCGGTAAGCAGGTCTGCTTGCCTGGACAGCCGCAGGGGAGTGGAGGGCTTTCCAGCCTTGCGTTACATGCCTTGACGGGATGTCTCTTATCCATATATGTAACCTCATAACATTTTGGGCTTTTCACGAATAAGAACAGCTTTGATCTCCTATGGAAAGTAATGCAGTTTTAATGTCCAACTTCAAGGGGCCATTAGCTGCATTTTTATCAGTTAGCGAGGCTGCTTGGCAAATTTCTGAATGTCTAGTCAGGGAGTGTTGTTAGCCTAGAGGTTCAAGAGCTGGGTTGTGATTGGAGGGTTTTCACGTTGAGTTCTTCGCTGGGAGAATGTGGGTGGGGAAAGCGGGTGAGTAATACTCTTCCCTCCCTGCAGCACTTCAGTTGAGTTACCTTTGAGCAAGGCACTGAACCGCCCAGTGCTTGTGTAAAAGTAGAAAAATTTGATTATACAAGAAGATGATAAATGTTGTGCAGTGAAATGCTGGGAAAAGCAGAGTGCTCCATTGATACACTCCAGATAAATTCATAAATTAAATAAAGGAAAAAAGAAGGAAAGTCTGTTTTGCACTTTCTCTTTAATGAACATTTACAGTGTGTCTCAACCTGGTGGCATCCCCCTGCTCCCTCCATCCCTCCCCTTAAGCTGCCAGAAGTAGAGCAGACCAGGTGTACCTGTCTAAACTTGCTGTGTAATTTGTGGATTAGCAGATGCCTCTAATGGCTAAAATCATCAGAGCTTTCCCTCTGCCACAGAGGGGTAAGAAGGAAAAAGACACAGAAGCAGAAAAGTAAGAATGAAGGACCAAGGGTGAAAACCATCAGCCTTCTGTGATGAATCTTGAAGGAGCAACTCAGCTATCCTAAATATGTAAATGCTCCGTATTTGTATAGTGCCTTTCTTTGCGACTACTCAAAGCGCTTTAACGCTACATCGCATTCACCAAACACATTCATTCACTGAGCTGAAGTGCTCAAACAGAAACCAACATTCACACACTGGAACAGCCACCAGGGGCAATTCGGGGATTCAGTATCTTGCCGGAGATTGAACTGCCAACCTTCCGCTTAACAGGCAACCTGCTCTTCCTCCTGAGCCACAGCAGCCCCAAATGATCTCTCCATAAATTGAGTAGGCACATATTTGTGTGAGTGGCAGACCCTTTTCACCCCATCAACATCTCAGTACTGTCAACACTTTAAAAGCTCTTCTCTAATGTGTTTTTGTCATTTTGCAGTTACAGCCTTTCCTCACCAGAAAAACGTATGTATATGTCGATTGGACAACAGCTTGTTACGATCCACATTTACTTTTCTTGTTAGGCCGCGACCTCCCTCCCTTCATGGTAAATGAAGAAGTCAGTGGATTCTAGTAATATATCTAAATAAAGAGTCTGTGTAAGGAGGTGGTGAGGGTGGATGAATGTGTCACGAGAGTTAAGTGACTTAAATAATACTTATTTGAACCCAGACCACAATCTAAACCTAACCAAGTAGTTTTGTTGCCTCAACCTTTCCAAACTATGGCCATTTCACAACATTTACCACGTGTTAAGTGTCATGTGGCTTAAGTTGCGTGATTTATGTAACATACTTAAGGTCATGTACGCCTGACGCTGGACTGGTACCTGCTAATGCTCGTACATTGATTGACTCAAACTATTTTGTTGTTTGGGAATGAGGACTTGTTGCCAGTTACCACTTTTGAACTTTGAAAAACTTAGATTTAGAGCTGAAATGATTAGTTGTTTAATTGATGCATGTACTATTTCATTCAATTAATGGTTGAAGTAAATTTTGAATAATTGACATTGTAGACAAAACATTAGTAAGTTGGCAACAAATTTAATTATCAATTAGTTGGTGGCGTCATCAGGCAGTAGTGACACCACTTACTGGAGTGAATGAGGGTGGGATATTTCACTCTTAACTCAGCCAAAAACGCTGTGAACAGTTGGGACAGTTCGGATTGGTGGACACACCTCCTCCACTCCAGTGCTCTACACCGGAGCCCCCCAGGGATGTGTGCTCAGCCTCCTCCTGTTCACGCTGTACACTCACGACAGACAATTCACGACAGACAGCACCATCATCAGCTGGATTTCAAACAACAATTGACTTCATATCAGGGGGAAATTGAAAATCTTCTGCAGAGCAGACACATTTTTCTGGGGGAACCACACTTCCAGTTCAATGTAGTGAGTCCCCGGGACCCACAGAAGATTGTATATTTGTAGCTCTTTATCAGTACTTTTGTTGGTTCTTTTTTTTATGTATACACTACACATGTTTAAGGCTGTTAAACAGGTGTATTGATGAAGTACTGGTTTCTTACTAACAGTAACAAGCGTAGTTCTCGTCAGCTCGAGGTAATCTTGGAGTTATCTTCACTTCATCACTCTTCCACCGCAGCTTCTCTGCTGTTCGCTGACTTTGCTTCATCTGTGTGTTTGTGTAGGAGCTCAGCCCCGACAGAAAGCAGGATTTCTAAGATTTCAACACAGATTTGTTATTCACAATGTTGAATGTTCCCGTGCATTCCCCCATATTTCCACCATTGAATATTTGGTGGAGTTGGTGCTTAATAATACGGAAGTGCCTGAAAAGTCAAACAAGAATGAATGCCTCATGTCAGCCAATGTCTATCGTTCATGGGAATTAATCCCAGCATGGCATGGCTCCCTTTGTATTTTAATATAGATTTAATAGGAGGCAGAATGTATTTTCTACTCGCACTGTAGATTTATGTGTAGCCAACACATGCCTCATTTGTCACTGGGGGTACTGTAATTTGTCCTGCCACATGTATTTAGCTTTTACACAAGGGCTGGGCTTTTCTATTTTTTTTTCTGTACAAGTAACAGTACGATACCTGAATTTTGAATATGATACATTTGACACCATATTTTGAGAAATATAAATATTTCCTCCTACAAAGAGAAATATTTTCAAATGCTATCCAAGTTCCTAAAATACTGTTAGTTGCAGAAAAACTTCCGCTCAATAAGAGTCCAAAAATGGCAAAATTTTAAATCTGAAACTATCTATTAAAAGAAGTAAACACTATTACAAAAACTTTCAATAGTTTTCACTATCCAGTGCTTTAGGCACATTTTGTTCTGACCAAAAAATTGTTGAGGTTTGACATCCAACCCTAGGTACACGTATTCCTAAAGATAACACAGATTTAGTTTTTGTCATGTGTGAAGTCCCCCTCCTCCTGAGAAAAACTCAACACAGACACTGACACATTCCTGATGGCACAAGGCATAACTTGTTATGGAGGCTGTTCGCAGGGCTGTGTTAAGGTGAATCCAGACACACACACTGGGCTGTGTGCACCAAGAGGGGCAGCGCTGATTTAGGGCATTACTCAAACAGAGAGAGAGAGGGGGAAAGAGGGAGAGCCTCCCCTGACTGCATTAGGTGAGCCTCCAGCCTTTGTGATTCCTTTTGATCAAATCTCTGTGAAAGATGAGTGTCATGCCCTCTTCCAGCCAGCTGTGAGGGGACTGCCCTGTGACTCTGAGGGGGTGAACGTGTGTGTGTGTGTGTGTGTGTGTGTGTGTGTCTGCATGCGTGAAAGAGTATGCACACCTCTGTGTGCACGCGCGCGCGTGTGTGTGTGTGTGTCTGCATGCGTGAAAGAGTATGCACACCTCTGTGTGCACGCGCGCATGTGTGTGTGTCTGTGGTGTGTGTGTGTGTGTGTGTGTGTGTGTGTAGGCTAGGGAGGGAGCAGGCAGCTCCTGAGGTGAGAATGCCGAGTGGGAGGATCTCATTCCAATCCCCTGTGCCCAGTTTCAACACACACACACACACACACACACACACACACACACACACACACACACACACACACACACACACACTGAACATCTTGAGTAGTTTAGAGCCAGTCCACGGCAACATTAGAGGAGAGAAAGCAGAGGAGGCGTGTGTGTGTGTGCGCATCTGTGCAGTGAGAGTAAAAGCACGGCGACTACTTCTTCTCTTTTTTGTGGAGTGAGTGTTGGTGGCTCGGTGTGTGTGTGTGAGGAGACAGAGAAGTACATGTGTGTCTGTATTGTTGAAGGAGATGCTGCTGGGTGTGATGGCTCTTTTGCATTAGTGCTTGTGCGGACAGGAGAGTTGGAGCCAGTTGTTTTGTGGGACTCGCGTGGAATGGCAAACTCTACGGTATCCTTGGAAACATCAGACTAAATGACAATGGCTGAGGTAAGAGAGACGGCTTTTCACTGCTATTCTCTGTCTGCTCTGGTTCTTCTTACACACACCGCCTGCACACATAATCAGGATATATTGAGTTTATGTAGATCTGAGTGACAGACAGGGGTAGCACAGACTTTTATTTTGAGGTGCACAGATTAGGAGAAATATAGATTTGCATATGCTACTTTATGTGTGACAAGACATCAATAGAAACATTGATATAGAGTTTAGTTTTGCTGTGATTCCAGATTCATGTTGTATTTATCTACATTTTTACAAGTTGTCAAATAGTGATCTATTAATCTGGGTATCGTTAGAGCTGTTTGATTCTAGCCCAAAAACCCAGGTTATTTATCAGAGTTTCAGAACTACACAAAAGTGATACTTTTTTGATAACTTACTTCTACAAGAACTTTGTCTAAATAAAAACAGTCTCAAATTGGCAATTTTTTAATCTAAATTAGAAACTATCAAACAAAGAATAGGTGGAAAAAATCTGACCGTTATTTAGAGCCAGTTTTTGGGAAAGTTTTTAGAGGCTGACATTTCTGTAACTTTGAGTCGCTCTCAAACACTTGAAATCCTTCTGTGATTGATGGAAAAAGCGTAATGAGAGTGTCTTTGCCCCAGTCAGTGTGGACGGAAAGTGTCCTTACATGCCTTCCGAGGAGCCAGAGGCAACTCCCAGTAAACAATAACAGTAACTTAACCACAGACAAGTCAGGCTTCCCGGTCAGTAGTATTTGATCCTCTTCTTTTGATTCATTCAATTCTATGAACTTTATATTTAGCTGTTTTATCGTGTCGTATTATATTTTATCCTGAACACTAATTAATAAAAAAAAGAACCAGCCTCCAGTACTTACCTGGACCTGTTTTCCATCCACCCGTCTGTAGTTTGGGAAACATGGCAGCCTGGCCTCCTGTAGCCTCCTGGCCACTGGCCACAGCCTATTGGAATGTAATTTAAGAGCAGATTAATGTTTTGTTGCAGCCATAATGTAACAATTAGCTGAGCTGTCTGTGTGGTGGTAGACCAGACTGTTCTCTAATTGTGTGTGTGTGTGTGTGTGTGTGTGTGTGTAAACAGTGCTAAACAGTTGTGGTTTATTCCCGGTTAGATTACCGCTTGTTACAACAGAGAGGAGCATCCAAAAAGACTAGAGTGAAGAAATTAGATTTAATGAATGAAACCCATGTGGAACAGATACTGACCAGGTGAAAAAAATGATTGTCAATTATTAATGTTTCAGTTCATTGAAAAAGGGTTAGTTACTCACTTTTGTATTGATTCATTGTTTTACCACAATTTGTTATTAATAATTATAAATCTGAGAATCACTTATTTTTCCAGACTTTGTAATGTTATTTGCATTGATACATTATATATATATATATATATATATATATATATATAAAATCAGTAGTTTAAGGTATGTAAAATAGATTAATAGCCGCCAATAGCCACACTGTCAAACAAGTTAAATAGAACCTTAAATATTTCAGAGCAGAGATAATTCAGTTTTGTATAAGCTATTATTTTACAAATATCAAAAGAATAAAAAACTTGATCATAAAACAATCAGAACCTTTAACATGTATTTATTGAATTTTAATCATGCTCTGCCATAATTTTGGCATGTAAAGTGTGTTTTTCTTCCTCACATTGTGTTCCTCTAACAGGTTGCCTTTTTTATTTTCTGATGAGAGAGAGGCCATCACTCCAGCAATCCATGAAAATGATTTAGATGTAGTTTTTGTGTGTATGCGCGTGAAAGAGAAATGTGAGTTGAATGCTGCTCTGTGGCTTTCCTTTAATACACTCATGTTCTATCTCTTTATTCCTGCTGCTATATCACTCTAACCATCTTTTGTTTCCTCTTTCTACATCCATTTTTTGGTGTTTCTCTGTTCTCCTTTAGTGCTGCAGGGCCCCAGGGCACAACGCACAACACACACACACACACACACACACACACACTCATAGGGCCCCTACTTGTCTTTACAGGGTTGCACTTCACTTTGTGTGTGTGTGTTTATGTGTGTGCGTGTGTGTCAGCAGTGGCAACTGTAGCCTGCCAACCTCGTCAGCTTCATTAGGTTCATGATCAGGTCCATCCATGAGTGAGTGAGTGTGTGTGTGTGTGTGTGTGTGTGTGTGTGTGTGGGGGGGGGGGGCTGGGGGGGGAATCTTCTCTAGCCTTTTACCCCCTTCAGCGTATCCTCGAGCTGTGGTGCGTCCCTCCTGGCCCCTGCCTAACTCGTTCACACCCCCAAACTCCACACACACACACTGCAGCCAACCCTTGCATCTGCGTCCGCCACCAAAAGGCTTGTGAGGATTTGTCAGCCAGATGTGACAAGATTGTCAAGAGGCAGGCGAGGAGAGAGGGAGATCTGATATTAATCAGAGCGTAGCTGGGAGCCAAACTCTCTCAGACTCGGTGTACTAACATGTCCCCCTCATTTTCTCCCTCTCTGAGCCAAACACTCCCTCCGAGTTCCTAACAGGGAGCCACATACCCCCACCCCACACAAGCTCATTGTCTTTTAAGATTTTCTTTTCCTTAAAGAAGCCAACCATTTTCTCATGGATATTCAGGTAATGACTTCCTACTTTTTGTAGTGTGTTTTATGTGTGTGTGCTTTCTTGTGATTGACTGCTGGATGAGTATGAAATAATAAGTTTTTCACGGTGTCTTTGGGCTGTATGGACTCTTAATAGGCGCAAACACAGCCTGTCTCTACTTGCACTCGCCCAGGCTTCTCCTAGGCTTGTCTTCTCCTTCTCAGGTCCAATGCGTTGTTAAATGTTGTTTTTTTTATTTAAGTGTATTTTAAAAGCTATTGCTCACATGGAGTTTACTTTAAAGGAAGCTGTTAAATGAAACACAGGCTGAATTGCTTTGCAGTTGAGGTAAAACGTTAAATATTTTATGTAAAACTTGATGTAATAATCTCAGAGAATACCAGAAGTGAGTGGTTTTTATCTGGTGTGTGAGTGTTAAAGTGCTTCCTCTTTCTTAGTGGAGTGACATTAAATCATAAGCTGGGGCAGGATCACGTTGCCTGCTGAGCAGCTCATGTATCGTAACCTCACTTTAACTAACACTTGTCAACAATTAACATTTTATTACCTTGCTGTCACATACACAACTTGGTCCAAGACGTGATTTATTCATGAGACTGTATTCTTTGCTCGTACTGCGCACAAGCACACACTCTCTTGCACACACGCGCGCACACACACGCAGGCAGTGATCAGTGGTGGGGCCAAGTGTAGTCAGTGTAGCTTCAAGTTTTGGTGCTCAGGTGGTTTTATTGGTGAAGAGTCTGCGTTTTGAGCAGGATGTCTGAGTGGTACCAGGAACACTGTCCTCCCACTAAATTCCTGAGTGTTTTCTGTGTGTTCTGACTGGGATAAGATATTTATTTCCTCAGCATGTGTGTGAGTGAGAGTGTGTGTGTGTGTGTGAAAATTGTTTTTCGCTGTGCCGCAGTTTTTTTTTTTTGCTTAGAATTTGGCAGCTATTTAATTTCAGTGTCAGTTTGGCTCTTTTCCATGTGTTTTAAGTTAGTTGGATTGAATGTTATAAATATTTCCAGCAAATTTAAAAGCCGTTGCATTTTATGTATTTTTTTATTATTATTACTGATTAATCTGTTGATTGTTTTTACAGTTAATCACATGTTTCCAAAACCCACTATTTTTTAAATAGAATTTTTTTTGTTTGCAAAATCTATATAAATGCTATTTTATAATAATATAGAACATAACAAAACAGCACGTTCTCACATTTGAGAAGCTGGAACCAGTAAATTTTTAACCTGAATGAATGATTTATTGAACAACTGTTTGACTTGTCAACAGGCTGCACTAACGCAGCTAACACGCTTTATAAAGGGTTTATAAATTGTAACAAACTGCCATATTCATAGTTAAATAATCATTTTAATAAATAATTTATTTCAATTATAAACTATTAATCACAACAACTTTTGGGTTGCCAGGTTGGGAGGTGGATAAACACCAGCTAAAAATTTGGTGCAACCTGGAAATGTTTCTTATTAAGGTCTTATAATAGATCTATTACGCATTAGTAAATGATTACTGATTCATTAATAAATCCATTAGCAGTAGTTTATAACTTATTATCCATTTATAAAAGTAGCATTAGTTGAAAGTCATATCTAGTAATTTTATGAACACGTACATGGGGAAAAGTGACATTATGGAAGCAGGTAATAGTGGTTTGCAAAAATTCTAAAAAGAAGAAAATTAATAATAAGTATAATAATTATAATAACATTAATAATCACAATCTTAACTTCCTATTAGGTGTCAAAATTATGTATGTGACTTGTTTTCATCGTTTAATTTGAACCTTCAGTGAATCTGTGCCATGGAATTCAGTGATCATTTATATTTCCCACCAGGAATACTCCCACTTCCTTTATTTCCCCTGTGCCGTAATTGTCTTGTTAACTGATTAATGGCTGATGGTAAAATCTGATCCACTCTCACTTGGCCGTCAGTCACCCTCTGCCTCAGAGCTGCTGATATCCCTGTTGTTATTCACTCTTTGGCATCAGCACCGCTTGTTTCCCCATTGAGTGTCAGTTAGTGCCTGGCTGCTGCTAATTGATTAGTTTTCCACTGCATTAGGCCAACAAGTCCCCGTCCATGCCCGAACTGTCTCTGTCCAAGCAGCTGTTCATTTCTGCTGGGTCTCTAAAGCACCGACGCCATTCCGGACATATGGCAGGATTTTATTTTAAGAGCCAGAAAGGACTATTTCATTTTATTTCTTTTGTGTGTGTGTGTGTGTGTGTGTGTGTGTGTGAAGGATGTTGTGGCTGTAACCCAGCAGTGGGATGAAGATGATGTTCCACTTTGACCAGACATAACATAGCTAAGTTTTTTTTGGTGTTGTTTTTTCCTGTTTCTGTCTTATAATGCTTACTGTTTTTATGCATTCTATATCTGAAGGTCACTGCATGGATTCAAATTATTTAAGCTGTTAATATCATTTCAGCATTGTTTGGTAGCACAGAGTGGACTAAGAAAGCAAATTCAGTCATTTCGTGGAAACACCTGGGTATGAATTTATAATAATTTTGTCATAGTTAAATCCAGTACAAGCATCACCGGTGTATTGCGTGAAGAAAGAAAGATGTTTCATACACACATGCCGGCACATCAGTGTATGTTATAACTCAGGACTGGGTCTTCATGGTATACAGACGCTGTTTTTATGATGTCCCTGCCTTCTCATCACCTCACTCTTTTCGCTTTTCTTAACCTCACCTTCTTCTCTTTAACTTCCTTCATGGCCTCCATCTATCCATTCTACACAGCCTGACCTCTTGGTGTACAGTCTCTCAAACAAGATGCCTCTGACTGCAACATATAGACAGACACTGAGGGACAGAGGAGTGGTGGCAGAATTGAGATATACACATGGAGACTGAATAAGCTTTTACATTAAAGAAAAAAATGATGATTTGCAAAAGCAGTCCTGCCAGTGCCATACAAATCCATATGCATATAGAAACTATAGAGATAGTATATATTCATAGTATCATGAGCGGAAATTGTCATTTATAAGATGTATTTTTATTCTATGACATTCCCAGACATTTTAAATAGTATAATTCTTAAATCCTATTTTTGCTTAAATCCACTTACTAGCTTATTCCAGGGCTTTCAACCGCATTTCAAAGTCTTCATCAACAGGTGAAGTTTGCTCAGTTGTGTAGTCATCATCGCTAAGACCTACCATTTCATAACTCTGAGATGGGGTTGAAAGCTTTGGGAAAAGCTAATAATTGGACCTTAAGTTAAGAGTCAAAGTCAGATTACTATTTCCAAGGTCAGGAAAGAATGCTCACAGATGAGAGAAGCTCTGAGTTGATAAAACTGTTGATACACTCGTCTGTGCACTCACAGGAATAAACTTTACAAGCAGCAGTGAGGAGATTTTGTCTTTATGGCTTAATGAAAGGTGCTCTGACTCTCTTGGAGTGTCCCAGTTCCACAGTACATACCAATTTGTTTGAATGTGTGTATGGTGTTCACACTGGAAAAGTGACACAATTTGGTATAGTAAAAAAAGTAGACTAAAATCACAGATTAATAATAGAGCAATTTAAACAGAATTTTTAAATTTTGTTCATGTTTCAGTTGAAGAACCCCTAACTAAAAGTGTCATTTATTCAACTTGTATTACTTATATGCTAATTAGATGCATGTGTAATGTGTTCAAGGTGTGCGTAGAGGTGGTGAGGTTGATGTGTGGCTCCACTGGTGTACATCACTGATATAAAGAAAGCGACATTGTGTTAGCTTTGGCTTCAAAACCACCGACCCGGCCGCTTCATTCTGTGCAATTAGTCTTCTTGTCATCGGCTTCATTGATGCGTAAGAACAGCCGTGGCTTTGTTGTGAGAACAGTAAAGAGAAAGAGATATGCAGGGGGGTCACCTGCCCTGAGTTGCTATAGTTCTCCTTCTCCTTTCTTTCTCCTTCTTCTTCTCAGGAACTAATGAAATGAATCGCTAATTAAGATAAACAACCCAGAGCACACTGTGCATTGGAATGTGTGTGTGTGTTACAGGCTGGTGAGTGAGCAGGGGCACCTGATTAAGATGTATATTAGAGGGAGCAGCAGCAGGAGGTGGGTGTGTGTGCACCCACAGTGGGATGGGATTAGCCTAATTGGGCTGTGTTGGTTCTTGGTGCTCTGTAATGATGGGATTATGTTGCTGAGAGATGAGCACAGGGGTTTTTACACCTCACCACTGTCCGGAGGAGGCTGAGCTAGCCAGCCAGAGATAAAACCTGACAGAGAGGGCGACAGAGAGAAAAGCAAAGCAAATGGATGTCATGGGACTGAAGGCCGGAGCTACCACGCTGTCTTTCAAGGCCAGGTAGCTGCCGTCGCCTTCATCTCGGGTCAGTTTATTCATCCTAATAATGAAGGGTTACTGTAAGGTGAAATTATGTGATCCCAGATCTCAAGGACAAGCCCAGCCCCGGGCGCAGAACTAAGCGACTGACTAAATGAGAAGGAGGAGGCGACCCCTATCCACCCACCCACATTTTTCCTCTTTCTCTGCTCATAGAGAGGGAGTGAGCTCCAGCGAGGAGCTAAGCATGCCGCTCATGTATACTAAAACCCCAGTGATCATGCATTATAGATGGAGAGGGAGAGAGGTGGTGTAGCGTAGCTACTCTGAGGTTTTCAGCATGTAGCACTAACAACACTGGCTTTGATCATAAATCTGAAGATGCTTTTCCCTCAGTTCCTGGTGTGTAAATGATTTTTTTTTTCTTTGGGTCCAAGGCAGGGAGAGGGGAAACAGCGTCATTTTTAGTATATCAGTGCACTGGAGTCTTCTCTGCCAAGTCAGCAGCTACCCTCGAAACTTTACTCATTACTGCCATTAACTCCTCACTTTGAGTCTCTGTGTCAGTCCACTTACTCTAGTTTTCTGCATGTTTGTCCTGAAAAGATAAAACCCATTATCAGATGAGCTGATGGACTGAGTCCCCTGACCTGTGTGCGTGTTTGCCTTAGGCATTGATTGACTGAAATGGTTTTGGTGATCCAGGTATATCCAAGACCTTTCCTTACTGTAGAAAGGAACTGCCCTGCAAAACTACTGACACACACACACACACACACACACACACACACACACACAGCTGTGCTAATTCTGCTCTCACAAGGCAAAACAGACAAGTTGTGATACACAGGGGAAAGCAAAATCACTTAAGGCAATCATGCCCTTTTCTTTCAGTTTCCGTGGGCAACTTGACTGTTGTACATTTTTCATGTAGCTGTGTAAGTAACATACAGCCACGCACACACTTTTTCCTCGACAATTAGATGAGAGGGCATATTTTCTATTAGTGCCTTTAATGGTGCTTTCCTGGATATATAAAAATCTGACCACTTGAAAATATTATACTTTTGGAATAATACAAAATATAAAAACATCTTTGAGTCTGGATTTTAGAAATGTGCTCTGTGGATGGAAAATGGAACCTTTTACACTTGCCTGCTCCACCAGCGTCTTAGATTCTACTCAAAATATCAAGGTTTACAACATGTCTGGCTAAATGTTGGACAAATGTGAACAAACTGATACAAGACAGCTACAATATTTTCAATTTATGAATTAGTTAGCCATAAAGAAAGAGTCCTGGGTTTGAATAGTTAAGTAAAAATAAGCATCAGCTACATCATGAAGGTGTTGGAAGAAGAAATACTGAACATATGTGTTTTGGACTGATTCAAGAAACATAGGGGAAATTTGGGTTGATAATCAGATACAGTGGTACTGTGTGTTATAACAGGCATTCATTTTCTTGTGTTCTCATTAAAATAAAGAAAATCTATGTTTTTTGTGTTATCAGGCTATCTGCTGCACTTTGGTGAACTGTAACTGTGACAGCTTCAAGCCTGGGAAGCTGAAGAGGCGGCAGTGTGAAAACTGCAAGCATGGCTGGGTAGCACACGGTAAGAGCTCACTGCAAAGTTTCTACTGGTAGTGCGAAGACACTGAACTGAGGCTCTTTTCAATAATAATCTTTATTATGTTAAAATTAATTCAAACCTTTTCACAGACCACTAATATTATCTAGTCTTGCAAAGAGCTGGTTTCCTTTGTCCAGTCTGGTTTCTGAGAGAGAATTTGTCATTTCTGATCTGAATGCTTTGTATGTAGGTCTGTATAATGTATACATCTGTATGTGATCAGATGAGGTCTGATGGTCTGTTCACAAAATCAAAAAATGACTGGGTGCTGTTAGACTGATTAACAGTTCTATCAGGAATTAAGAATTGATTCCTACACACTTTTTTCATTATATACTTTTTAATATTTCTTTGTCAAAAGGTTGAGGTCCAATTGAAGTCACAAGTAATTAAAATTTTAAATCAAATCTTTTTTAATTTTATCAAGTCCAGTGTCATCAGACACCGCTGGATGGTACTGTTTAATCTTTAAGTGGCATTTTCCAGTACTGTGAGTACCGCAAAATAAAGTCCATTTACCGCCATTGTTTTGTGGTAATATAATAACCATTATTCAATCACTGTCACATTAATATTGATACCTAGCTTACCTATTGTATAAAAATGTACAAACATAGTTACTATTAACAAAGAAGACCATCATTTGGAATAATATTGTGTCAAACTGTGGTGTAAAGCAGAGACCACATCTTCCTTACAAATTGCTGCTTTGTGTTGTAAAGGTGATTTTTTTTTTATGGTCACAGAATCTCTTTTGATTCTCTGAGAGACTGCAAGTAAAATAGGGTGTAGATCTCACTAAACCTCTCAGCAACAGTTAACGTTTGTTTACAGTAATTACACTAATGTCGTCAGCATTTGTATCATTTTCCCAGTAATTTAATGCAGGTGCTGCATGAAGCATCATCACCTTCATTTTGTTTCCAAAATGATCTGCAAATTATGAACACAATTTTTTATATTGAGTATAGCTCTAAAGAGTAAAATTGAATGCCATGAAAATTAAGCATTAAGCAATCATGCATTTCCTCAGTTAACATTATCCATTGATATGGAATGTGCCTGTCAGGTGGTTATGCACTGATCTGATTCGCAACTAAGGCAGAGGATCAAAAATAGCATACAAATAGCTAAACTGTATATTATTTTTTAAAATGACATTCTCATTATTTATTGCTTACACAGTATTCCAATATTTTTATTTATATTTTGTATAAATCATCTAGCTATCAAAGCCATGTTTTTAATGAGTATTATTAGTCGTTATTATTATGTTATTGCTTACATTTATAAATTGTGTATGTGTGTGTGTGTGTGTGTGTGTGTGTGTGAGTTGTGTAGTGTAGTTTCATAAAATCTAATCCAGTAAAATCTGATGTGTGTATTCTAGCCCTGAGTAAGCTGAAGGTGCACCACATGTACCAGAGCAGCCAGGTGGAGATTGTGCACTCCAACGTGGTGTTCGATATCTGCAGCCTGATGCTGTACGGCACCCAAGCCATCCCCATCCGCCTCAAGATCCTCCTGGACCGCCTTTTCTCTGTCCTCAAGCAGGAAGAGGTCATCCAGATCCTCAATGCACTTGACTGGACACTGCAGGACTACATACGAGGATATGTGCTCCAGGTGAGCAGTGGGGGGAAATTCTTTTTTTCCTTTTATTTTGTTTCCTTCTGCCTCCAGTTTTCATTCCAAGCTATCTTAACACAGTCTGACTCCAGCTCTGTACTTAACACACAGACAAAAAAATTGGTATCAATCTTCACATCTGAAACTGGGAAGAAAAGCAAACTATTTTCCAAAATACTGAATTATTCTTATGAATATCAAAACAATTTCAAAACAGTATTTAGTGTTATTCTTCTCAGTTTGGGGAAAAACTCTAAAAACAGCTCAGAGGCTGGGACACCTAAAACTCAGAGATCAGAGAGACAGAAAGAATTTGTGAGGAAGACGAGGGAGGAGGAGGGAGAAATGGGCTCATGAAAGCATGGCTGGGGACAAGAAAGATTAGGGATATGATGTAGCGACCAATGCCATGAACTCTCTTGGTATCCTGCTGATGCGGCCGGCTTGTTGCTGAGGTACCACCAGCTCGGGAAGGTCTTCAAACTTTGCAGGGTGGATTTGTAAATATTGTTTTTTGCTTCAGATTTCCTCTCAAGCTGGGGCCAAGCTGGCTGAGGCCTAGACTACAGGCACTATGTCAGCGCAAGCTCTCACTTCGATTAGTACATCATCAAGTATTCAAGTTGGGCTGCGTTTAATTCATGTTAGCTCATCTAATGGCGAACGTATAGTCAGAATCCTCGACAGGCGCCCAATGAATGCTCTGTGATGAAATATTAATCACGGTTACGGCATGAAGCTGCTCCTCACTTTCAAAGACGCCCAAATTCACATGTGATTACTGCTGGGCTAAGGGAGAGAGGACCTGCTTGATCAATGTGAGCCGCCTTCTGATCACCCCTCCCTTACTGTGTGTGTGTGTGTATTACTTATTTATTTTTGCATGCCTTTGGGAGTGTGTATATGAGTTTATGTTTCTGCTAGTATACTTGTATGCATGTTCTCACCATGGTGTGTGTGCGTGTGAGTATATGTGTGTGTTCTCTGTCTGCTTCTGCTGATCCAGAGCATGTAAATCCACATGATTTAAATGAAGAGAAATTACCTGCAAGATGAAACACTGTGTGTCTGTGTAATGAGGGTTCTCAGGATTCTGCGCTGCCCGCTCGTATTAACACTCCATCAGATTCTTTTATTTAGCTACCCTGCCAGTCTGCTTTATAGGGTGTGTCATCTATCCCACTCTGTGAATATGTATGAGCAACCCAACAGACACTTATAATGCTAATGATGAAATTGCTCTCTCTCCTTTCTTTTTTTTTTTCACTTTCCCTCTCCTTCTCAATCTGTTTCACACCCTTGCCTTTTCCCCTTCCCTGTACTGTGTTGCTGTTCCCTTTCTTCTTGCCCTGTCTGCAGGATATAGCAGGAAAGGTGCTGGACCGGTGGGCCATCATGACGTTCGAGGAGGAGATTGCCACACTGCAGCAGTTCTTACGTTTTGGCGAGACCAAGTCCATAGTGGAGCTGATGGCTCTGCAGGACAAGGAGGGTCAGGCAGTTTTGGTTCCTAGTACCCGCACCAACTCAGATATCCGCACTTTCATTGAGCGCAACACCCCACGCACTGCTGCCAACCTCTCTACATCCAAAGTTGATAAGCTGAGTGGTAACAGCATGCACCACTTTGAGAACTTTATCAACAGCATGGCCTTCATGCTGCCATTCCAACTGTTAGGCTCTGTTCCTGCACCGTTTCTGGGCTCACCAACAGGGGCACTACAGCAGCAGCACCAGCAACACCAGCAACACCAGCAGCCATGCCGTGGATCATTGGAGCAGCAGAATCAAAGGCGAGATGATCAAGGGCGGGAGGGTGTCGGTAGGGACAGCCTCCTCCCTCTTTCACACCTTCCAGAGAATAGCCTGCTAGGTTCCAGCTCTGTCTCTTTCACTGCTGATCTAGAACGAAGTGGAGACAAGCCAATGGATAGCCTCTCCACCACGACAAAGATTGAGGCAGAGGACTTCTCCACTAGTGACAACTACTCGGATGGACCCTCAACTCCATGCACACCCTCCATGAGCTCTGATGTAACACAGATGTCACCTGATGGCAAGCTGCGCTCCCTAGACAGGAACGGGAGTGGCGGTGGAGGGGTGTCAGGAGGTTCCCTGAAGAAGGGTCGCGTATTTTGCAACGCCTGTGAGAAGACATTCTATGACAAAGGCACATTGAAAATCCACTACAATGCAGTACACCTGAAGATAAAGCACAAGTGTACCATAGAGGGCTGCAACATGGTGTTCAGCTCGCTGCGCAGCCGCAATCGCCACAGTGCCAACCCAAACCCGCGGCTACACATGCCAATGAACCGTAACAACCGGGACAAAGACCTGCGGGGAAGCTTGTCTGCTGATGAGGGCTCTCAAGGAGAGAAAAGGCCTGAATATGGAACCTCCATTCCTGTCTGCTCTGCAGAGAGCCACAAGTCAGTGTCCAGCTACATGGTGAGCCATGTGGACACGGGCTCCAAACTCCACAGCAGCTCGTTCCCCAGCATGGGCCAGAGTGGCATCCTCTTCCCCAATTTAAAAACAGTACAGCCAGTCCTGCCTTTCTACCGCAGCCTGGTAACCCCAGCAGAGCTTGCCAACACCCCAGGAACACTACCCTCCCTTCCTCTGTTGTCTTCCTCTGTACCCGTCAAACCCATCACAGCTCCTGAACCCTACATGACAGACCCTATACCAAAGAAAAAGTCTCGGAAGTCAAGCATGCCAATAAAGATAGAAAAGGAGGCGGTAGAGCGAGATGAGCAGATGGATAAGGAGAGCAGCTCTGAGGAAGAGGCTGTTCTGCAAGGCAGGGACAAAGAAGTGTGTAATGGTGGTCGAGCAGAGGGGCATATGTGCGCAAGACAAGATGGAGAGGAGAAGGAGGCAGGAGGGGCTTACATTGGCGAACAGAAGGAAAGGGGGGCCGCCAAGCATCTGTTGGACCAAACTTTAGATAGAGAAATGACAGAAATAGAGGACAAAGATGATGGGCCAATGCAAGCTGAAACAGGGGTCATCACCTGTGCATCCTCCCCCTTTGAAAACAGACTAATGGAGAATCACTGTGACAACAACTTACTCTGTCAGGAAGCCAATGGCAATGAAGAAAGGGAGGGCAGGGAGCATGCAAGCTCCCTGCATGCAGCTGACAAGATTTCAGAGCTCAGATGGGATGACAGTGAGCACAGGCTGACCAACGGGAGCGCACCCCAGCTCATAGACCGTGAGAGAGAGGAAACTGATGGCTGTGTAGACGACTACAGTGACTCAGGTTTGTCTCACCTCGACCCTGACGCTGACCTGCCACACTACTGTGAGATCTGCAGTAAAACCTTTAAGAACCCATACAGCGTCAAGATGCACTACCAAAATGTTCACCTGAAGGAGATGCATATGTGTACAGTGGATGGCTGCAATGCTGCCTTCCCCTCTCGCAGGAGCCGAGACAGGTGAGTGGCAGTCTTAGTTTGTTAATGTTCCAGCACGAGTTCTCAGGATTACTGACAGATGTAAGCCTGTACATTCTGTTGCTTCTGAAGATGCAGTAGTTTATATCCCAGCTCTAAGGCAGTGCTGTTCAGCTCTTGCAGTTGGCAGCTTCCTCAGGGTTCCACTTAGCAGACATCAGTAATATAGGATCAGATCATTGTTTCTCAACCGTGTGCCAATAAAACATGTGGACATGCTAGCAGGGAGAAAGATCTGGAATCAGCTGCTCAAGTTTGGTTAGTATGGAAACGGCAGACTAATGGTGCCTTTGGCTGAAATTATACTTGCGAAAAATGTTGTCATCTGGCCATGTCTGCTCAGGACAGGGCTGTCTGCATGCAGCCAAAAATATATTAAGACTGTAGACGTGGAGAAAATGATCTGTCTGCACATGTGTGAACAAGTACGCATAGGCCTATGCCTAAAATGCGGTATAAACAAAACTACAAGCACAACTACGATCCACATCAGTTTTGGAGTATATCTTGCCCATTATAGCTCATACATACTGATTTACATTGTTTAAAGGGAAGCCCATATTGAGTGGCTGGATTTGACACTTCTGACAATATATTCTTCTCTTTACACTTGCTCTGCAAACAATAAATAATGTGGGAAAAAGAGTAAAAGTGGCAGAAATGGCAAAAAAGATAGCTTAAACCTCAGTAGCATGTCCAAACAGATAGGTTCATGCAATGTTCTATTGCTTTGGCATTTTAGGGTGGACAGGGCCTCAGTGAGTTGAGTGTGGCAATTAAATTGTATCTTTTTGTTGTATGTTAAAGTAAATTAGACAAAACACAAAAGACATTCACTGTGTGTATAATACATTTCATTGAACTTTAATGCTGATATATGTTTTTCTACAGACACAGTGCAAATTTGAACCTGCACCACAAGCTGCTGACCAAAGACTCATTCAGCCCAGCCAACACCCTCTATTCACCCTCATCCTACTGTAGAGATAGAGACTCTGTTGGCCTGGACTACTGCCAAGACCAGCGGGACAGAGATCTGCTCCATCGAGACCCAACTAGCCAGACCTCGGTCATCTTCCGAGGACACAACCCCATGGGCCTGGTCTTCCCCATGAGTAAAGTGTCTGCTGCATCATACAGTGCCGAGGCATCTCCCTTAGGAGGGATGGAGGGATTAGAAGTTGGAGGAGAAGGTGGTGGAAGTGGGGAGGATGGGGCAATCCTGGACCTGAGCACCACCTCCTCTTCTGCTCCACCTCGTGGCAACAGCAGTGCTCGATCTTCCTGGGACTCAGATGGAGCCGGTAGTGAAGCAGGGGAAGAGATTGAAGAGGATGAGGAGGCACTCCCCATGGAGGACAGCGATGAAAGCTGCGATGGGATCGGCATAGGAAGGCCTGGGGGTGAGGAGTTGGAACCTAGGGGAGAGAGGACCATTGGGGGAGGACAACAGGGAGGTGGAGGTGGATCTCCGATAACCTGCCACGTCTGCCAAAAGGTCTACAGCAACAAGGGCACATTCAGAGCCCATTACAAAACTGTCCATCTGCGACTGCTTCACAAGTGTAAAGTCCCTGGCTGTGATATATCCTTCTCCTCTGTGCGAAGCAGAAACAGGCACAGCCAGAACCCAAACCTTCACAGAAACCTAGCTGTTAGCTCAGGTGCCACAATGGACCAGGACTAGGGATTTGAACATGACTGATTTCCTTTGTTCTAATTGTCTGTTTGTTGTTGTTCATTTTTGGGCACCAAAAGAAGGCTCACCAATTAGCACTTTTAAAATTCCATACTGTAGTCTATCATCTTGTCATGTTTTGGGAAAATAGACAAAATAAAGTACAATCAGGAGTTCATTTGTTATTGCAAATGCAACTTTCTTATGGAGCAAATGGCCTTTTCTGAAATACAAAAACAGATACAGCCATGCATGCATCTGCATATGTTTACAACCTTAATGAGTCTCAGTCTTTGTTTTGTAATGCAGTACTGATTCTTTCATATTGGTTTGTCTTACAGCCCAGTTTAGACCTTTTTAGACATTTTTTTATTTGTATGAACTGAATTTTTCCATGTTGTCCAAATGAGAGTTGAGCCATGAAACTGTATCATGTGAGTGTTTTTTTTCTGGTGATTTTGTTGTGTGATTTATGTCCACATCTTCTCTGTGAAGCAGTGCATAATGTATTCAAAATCAGTAGTGAAGTAAGCTCTACATGTGCCATTTCATTCATTTGGATAATTGCCATCAAAAAGAGTCTTTGTTGAAAAGCTATAGTGTTGTGAGCTTGACCAATAAGTTAATTTGTGGTGTTATGTGAAATGTCTTTACTGTTCTGGTTGTTGCATACTGCTAATGTTGACCAAAGATTTTTCAGTCCACAGGTGTGTATAGAAGCCCCTTCATACTTTGTGAGGGTTGTGCAGTATTAAAAGGGCCCGTCCAGTCTTCTCTCATCCACTTTGTGATTAACAGCAGTATTTAGGCTTGGGCTCTGTTGTAAAATAAAATAAAAATCACCCAAAAAACAACTTTTGACTGATTTGGGTGAAAAGATATCTTGATTTTGGTGGTGTTTTTTGTCAAGAAATCTGCTCATGGGACTTGACTTGATTAAGGCATTGCTCTTGTATTGTTTGTGTGGTTGCTTGACTGACTGGACAAACAGCAGGAACATATGCTGTGTCTGGAGACTAGAAGCATGTACTGTGAATGAGTCAAACACTGAGTTATAGTAATTTAAAAAAAATGCAATTTATAATAATGGCCCCACACATGAGCGCAGCCTAAAAAATAACTGGTAAACAAAATGTTTATTGAGCTGTATATTCTGTGAATAGAGTAATTTGTTATCTGAAAGAAACCAAAAAATATAATGTATAAAGTAGAAGAATTTCACCACTAACATTATATGTTTTTCTTTTCTTTTTTCATAAATGAATGAACAAGAACATTGTGTTGTACATGTCTGATTATTTCACCACTGTTCTAGTTTTGCTGTTTATTCTGCATTTTTCCATTCTGTATTTAAATGCAATGGGCCAGATTTAAGATGTTTGTTGTTTGGATTTGCTAAAAAAATGGAGCAAAAACCGACATGATTATAGGTGTTCATGTTTCCTTTGATTAATGTTACAATATTCATTCCAATTAAATAAAAAGCCATATGTTTGCAAGCCTCATTCCATTTAATTTTCTATCCATTAAAAAAAGTGAGCAATCATGACCTTGAGATATATATATATATATATATATACACACACAAAGTACACCAACACAAACAATGGAAAAGATATAAAGAGGAGGATTTACATGCATGTGTTGTAGTTGCCTTGTTCATCTCAGCAGCAGTATCATCTGATCCAGGCTGACTCCCTCGAGGCCTTGTAATACTCCATGTTAGGCGGAGCAACACTGATGAGCCTCTAACAGACACATAAAGTAATGGGCTGCTGGGAGGATAACATGTAGCTTCAGTGCAGAAGATATCCCTCTTAACATGCCATTCAAAATAGAGGTGAAACTATTTGAAAAAAAAATTCTTAAAGGATGAGTTCACAGAAAAGACAAAATATCATATTTCCTCACTTTCTTCCTGCAGCCATCAGATAGTTTTGGTTTTACTTGTCCAGATACTTGTTTTAAAGATATGTGCAATAGAGAGGAATGGAATTTCATTTGTTTCTCGCAACACTGAAAAATAAACAAAACAACAACACCAACAACACAACAACAACATGTCTTTCCAGAAACTGTGTCTCTGTTACTGTGGAAAATCCACAGGCCTCACCTACGGTGAATTTTAATTGGAAATACTTTCTACTGAAGAAATAATCACTATGAAAATGGGTTCCAGCACAACTGTTGACAGGGGTAAGAAAATATGCTTTTTTTTTGTTATTTGGCTGAACGGGCACTTTAAAATCAATGAGAAAATCAAATCTGTCTAATGAGTTGGTTCCAGTTTAAGTCAGCTTGGTTGGAGAAAAGTCAATCATGTGCCAACAGCATTTCACCAGATTTTAGAAAAATGAGGATTTAGAACTTAGAACAGTGATAAGAAACTAAATCCCTCATTAAGCTGGACTTTCAGGGGTTATCTTGCCACCAGGCCTTACTGAGGCAGAGGAGGGGTGTGGTCCACAGAATGACTTTGGCTTGACCCTTCACTGCTTTACCTCCCAGACAAGCAAACAAAACAGACACAAATCCAGCTAGAGGCACAGAAAACAGACATGTGGACACGCAGGTGCTGCAACAGTAATGTTTAAATGCACACAGAACACAGAGGCTGTATTCTCCGCTGAAAAACATCCACCAGGTAAGGGACATTTTGTTGGAATCTGATTAATAGTGTTTTGATTATATTTGGATTTTTTTGATCCTTTCTTTTGGCATGATAAAATGGAAGAGCAACAGATATGGTAGTCACATTCAGCAGTGATTAAAATGTGCATTGCTGCAAAATGGCACACACTACCAAAAGGAAAAAAACCTTTCATAGTTATTGAAGAGTTGAATTAATCGCTGTAATACTGCTATGCAAAGTTAAAGGGCAATGGTGGAAATGGACCAGGGACAATGGAAGTATCGTTGGGCCCACATTGAAAAAGCGAGGAGGACAAATCTGTTATGCAACATGCCAAAGTATTGCACTGTTACAGAGGGCTGAAAGCCTTGCATAACTCAACAATCCAACCCACCCATCACATTTACTGTACATTAGTGAGCCTGCAGAGCTGTTCCTCATCACTTAGGAGCTGAAAAACCCAGTTCTGACAAGTGGCCCCCATCCTTTTTCTCTGGCACGTTGCAGAAATCTAGTACCACTCAGAGAGGGCACAATGGGTTATTTCAGTCCCTCCTGTGTGCTGCATGTAGGCGACAATATTCAGCACAAAACCTGGTTGATCTGTAGAGGTGGAGCACTTGCTCAGCTTCCTCCACAGAGCTGTATCTGTATCTGTTACAGCTTGCATCTTTAGGGCTATTTTTAAGAAGCAGTGGAGCTCTTTCAGAAACGGTTCAGTGGTAAATATGGAACAGATTGACTAACGTACAGAGCCTCTCCTGCAACAGTTTGCTAAAATATACCCACAGCGTTTAGGACAGATTTTGGTTATGAGAAAACATTTTAACCTCCCTTTTTAGAAGATTAGGGCTGTGACAATACACTCATCTCACTATATTGGGTTCGCGAGACAAGACAATATTTTAATTATTAACAAATATTTTTAAGAAATCTTCAATGGCTTGAAATTAATGATTGGAAAAAGTGTCTTTTATTAACTGAAAGTCACAAAATGCTTAGAGGGTCTGAAATTAACTTTTCCCGCACCAAATCTCAACAAAAACATTCTCTTCTGGATCTCAGCAAGCAAACAAAAAACATCAGTTTCAATAAAAAAGGTTGGCCAACGAAAATAACATCAAGTGAATCCTCTTGTGTCTAATAAGCTTAGCTATTCTCCGACGACACTGGCGTTACCTCCCGTTGTCCGGCTGGTGCTGCTGGTAAGATGGTAAGAGATCTTGCCGCACCTCTGTAGACGACACATAAGACACTGCCATGTACATTATAATGAAATAATGGTCAAAACTACAAAAACAGATATATCCTTCTTATCAGTGCGACACTGTTCAGTGTGGGTTATAGCAGAGTGTTAGTCTCTACGATTTACCAGAAAAATATATATAAACAAAATAATTCTCACGCTTTTGTGAGCTTACATCAGCTCTTTGCTATTTTGAAAGTTAGATTTGCTAAGAGCCAGCACCTGGGAAGCAATGAGTACGTGCACGCTACTGTGAGAATCCCAAACAGTGAAACTGAGCCCTCTGAACAAGAGAGGGGTCTTTCTGGGGCACTGACACCGGATCCCACCTCGTGGTCCTGGGATGGGGATCAGGGCTGGCGGGGGGGTTGGGTGTAGTGGGGGAGGAACTGGAGGGTAAGGCAGAGAAGGGCGGAGAAAATGGATTGTCCATGGGTGCTTGGGAAGCTGAGGAATATGAGGGGGTATTACCGCCCAGCACCGCAGCCAGATGGACAGCAGATGACTTTTGTTCTCCCAAATACTCAACAGGCTGAGAGAGGAAGATGAGGATGAGGAAGAGGTGGAGACGAGGAAAAGCACAGGGAAGGAGGGAGGGGGCAGAAGGAGGAGAGGAAGCAAGCTTAGGCAAAGGTTTCAGTTTTACAAGGCAGGTTTTTTTCCTTCTCTAGACTGAAATGTGTAAATCAAAGCTGTTAAGTTTTATGCAATTAAAAAAAAACACTAGAAACAGAGATATAATTTCCACTGACTGACAATTCCCAGCATCCTAGGTCTTAAATCCTACATGCTTTATTCTAAAAACCTGTGCATTTAAATTAAAATCTATATGGTGCAACTTCACCACAGCAGGCATGCCAGCACAGGAGCGGGAACTTCTCCAATATCTGCAGCTCTGCAGGCCTGTACTGCCCCATGGTGGTGTAGAAAACCAGTTACAGGCTTCTCTGAGATGTTCATTTCAACAACCCCTCCAGCACTCCTCAAAGGATTTTTATTAGATGAAACGTTGATCCAAAAAAACATTTAGTCACAATTCTGAAGTAATTGGTTAGTGTTGCTTTTCACATTCACATTTTGTATAGCTTTTGTACAGCGGTCCAGAGAGCTCAATGCACTGCAAAAAACACATGCTCTGAAGGGGCAGGTTGTGGATCAGGTGGGGGGGCCTTTATACTTGGACATTTAACTATAAATTTAGGAAACATTTTTGACATTTTAACAGCTGTGTTATATTGTGGTATAACATACTCTCTGGTAAGAAAAGTTTAAAATGTTCTCAGATCATCAAGCATGCAAGCCAGTTGTCACTATTAGATCTCTATATCCAGTCAGATGTAAGACAACCTTCTATAACTCAGTCCAACTTCTCTTATCATGTCATCATTTTTTGAAACCTTCAGACTAGAACAAATACCTTCGAAAACTCATTCATTCAACATTAATTGAACAGTTACATAATTATGGCAGTCGCCGATAAATCTGAAACAGCTGGCTACATAACAACTGCAGTCTTTGCCATTTTGTAATTGAGAAACACAGTTTTTGAAAATGTGCTGTGAGGTAATTTGGATACAATCCCACTGAATCCTGTTTTTGATGAGTTGCGAAGAAATGTCTACCACAAGGGGGAAGCAGAGTCATAATGGCATGGAAATAAAGCCCCAGCAAGTGCTTTTTATTTCTTGCAACATCTAGTCAGGCTGCTTTCCTTTTGAACTTTAGTCTTTTGCTAAATTCTTTGAGTGCCATGGCTTCTCCCGACAGCTGATTATCTAACAGTCAACCTAAATAATTGCAGTAACTGGAGTTTGATAAAATAATGGTCAGACTAGAACAAATACAAACTCCAAAAGTGAATGCTATACTTTTCATGATGCAGCTTGAAAGTGTTAAAAGTTTCTATTCGGTAGACAATCCCTGTCTGGTAATTTCCTACACATGGTGTACAGCACTGGTTCTCCACAAAAGTGGATTTCGTTTTTATAAATGACTAACAACATGGGCAAAATAAAACAAAAGATTCGAGTTAGCAAAAAAGCCTTGCTTGCATCAGAACCCTTTTTTTCATTCATGCCACCACATGAATCACCGTCATGTTTAGTCACTTTAGGTCTGCTCAATATCCTTGCCCCCCAAACCAACTCCACGCCACAGTGGCACTATGCCCCCCAGGTGGGCCTGACCCCCAGTTTGAGAACCACTGGTGTAGAGAATGGGGAACAGGGAGGAGGACCGAGAGGCAGAGAGGGAGACTGAGTTCAGGATTGGGGTGAGGATGATGCAGGTGTAGGCAATAAAGGAGGTACAAGTAAGTACTACAAGGTAAGATGTGGTACAGAAAAGACTCATAGTGTAAACTTGCAGGTATTTCCTAGAACTAGGACATATGAGGGTAGGGAAGTTTTTGAGGCAACAGTGATTTGTACTATTTTTTCCCCCTTCCTAGTACAAAGGTTTCTTTTTCTTAGTGCATTCCAGAAATAATTTAAGGAGTATATTTTGTTCCCCCCCCCCATGGTAGATCTTCTTCAAGGAAGCCCTGGCCAAGACAGGCAGTAGCACAAGATAAAAACAAACAAAGGAAAAAAGTGTCGTACAGTCAGTTTAACACCTAAACGATGCTGTCTCTGGGGCTTCACAATGGATATAAAAGCATTCAAAGAAATCAAATTCTGCAATATATTCCAGTCTGTGGGTCTGAAACACCTAGAAGCCGTATTATTTTACAGATTTTGTTTTGTTTTTGTAGTGTAAATTTCATAAAAATACAGAAAATTACTTATAAAATATTAACCCTTAGAATAAAAGTTGTAATCTTTAAAATAATATAATTGGAAATTATAGATTTTTAACAGGATTATTCCATTGCTTAATTGTCTTGAATGTTACAAAATTACATTCACTTCTGTGTAAATGTTATGGCTTGTATGGGTGACCCAAGTACGGACACAGAGCACACGAGACAGAGTAAAAAGTTTACAGCCTTTATTAACCAAAAGATGCAAAGATGGTGAAGGCTGGTTAGGCTTGGTGTGAGCAGCTGCCAGGTTGAAGCAGCTGAAGTCCGGATTTCAGAGCAGGTGCATGACGATCATTTTGAGAAGAGAAAATTAGTTACTTGAGAGACAAGCAAGAGACGGCACTAAAAACACTAGTAACTAAAGCTAGGCCTGAAGTACTTAACCATGGTACGGTACTAAACAATCTGGAGCCACAGAAAGCGTTTTCTGGAGTTTTATATGTTTTATAAGTTTCTATGTTGTTGACCGTGTAGTTGCTGTGGCTGCTTTGATATACAGTAGTAGTTTGCTGTCTACTGAGGTGTAAAACATTCTAAAATTCTTGTGAAAATGATTAGATATAAGTTATCCTGGCCATTCAAATTAATACAAAAAACATGAATACACCATGCACCATTTAGTATGATGTCATATATAGACAGACCTTCTCTCAGCATCTCCTGCACTGGTTGACTGCAAGTGTCCGTGATGAATGGTGAATGATTATTGACAAGCATTAACAAATAATCCTTAACACAAACACAAACATAGGGTCTGTACGAGTGTTTATCGACGCATTCATCATTCCCAAGGTACCATTTTAGTTGTCATGTCCCTACATTGAGAAAATGCTTACTACACTGCATTATAAAAGATAACAAACAAGAAGACAAAAAACAGCTTTCAAATAAATGATAGACTTTACATTGCCATTTGTATAATTTCAGTACATTTAATCTATCTTTGTGTCCCACAGTATAAGTTAGTTGCTTAAAGGCATGTAGGCCTAAAAAAATTTAAACTTTAGAAAGGATGCTGATAATAATTTATGCTCAGTGTGAATAAACTCCTAAAAATATGGTAAATCCACAATAATATCTAGCCTACTTAATTGGAAAAAGCTCCCAAACTTTCACCAAGGAGGCTGTTCACCGAGGAGTGATGGTTAGAATCTGATTTAACAGGAGACATGGTGCAGAGAAGATGTTTCCACTGGTCATCCTCACGGCTACACTGAGATTATTATACCATCAACAAAAAATCCCACAATAACCCAAGGCAGAGATTCAGGAGGCATGATTATATGGTGTAAATCAGAACTGAACCAGTCCATCACTGTTATTAAAAAAGAAGAATCTTACATATGGTTGAAATTAACAAACAGATGATTTGTGCTGAGCAACATGTCTACATGTGTGCCATCTATATACCTCCATCAGAATCCCCCTACTACAACCCAGATACTTTCTCTATTCTTGAGGAGGAAGTTAACCATTATAAAACCATGGGAAATGTATTACTCTGTGGGGACTTGAACGCTCGAACAGGGGAAGGAGCTGACACCCAGGGAGACCAACACTTACCTGGAAGCACCTGCTTCCCCCTCCCTGAATGTCCTGCTAGGAAGAGCTTTGACAAGCTTACTAATACAAGCGGTATGCAGCTTTTACAGCTCTGCCGTACACTGGGTCTGTACAAAGTCAACGGCAGGCTACGAGGGGACTCTCTGGGTCACTACACTTACAGCTCAGCTCTTGGCAGTAGTACCGTAGATTATTTCATTACAGATCTAGATCCAATGTCTCTCAGAGCTTTCACAGACAGCCCCCTCACACCCCTCTCAGACCACAGCAAAATCACTATCTGAAAAGGGCTCAGTCTAAGTCTGGAGCCCCTAGTGCCTGTTTAACAGCACATACCCATACAGACAGCATGGGGGCGTACCTAAAGGCACTTGAAAATCAAAACATACATGATTTAACTCATTTATTTCTTACTGAAACATTTCCCCAGAATAATTCTGGTGTAAATTCTGCTGTGGACAAAATCAATTCAATATTTCATCATTTGGCTTCATTGTCTAATTTGAAAGCCTCCAAACCAAAACCTCAACAAATGAACAATAACAAATGGTTTGACACTGAATGCAAAAACCTAAAGAAAACTTTAAGGAAATTATCAAATGAAAAGCATAGGGACCCAGATAGCCACAACATACGCTGTCAATATGAGGCCACTCTGGAACAATACAAGTACACCCTAAAAACTAAGAAAGAACAACACAGCAAGAAGCAGCTCTGTGAAACTGAGGAATCCTTAGAGTCCAACCAGTTCTGGGAGAAATGGAACAACCTAAACAAAATCCAGCAGGATGAATTGGCGATCCAAGATGGAAATACTTGGATTAATCACTTTATCAATTATACAGTAATATTACAAAAAATGATGATCAGTACAAGATATTCACGAAATGGAAAACTCTGGAGGCGGTGATAAAAAACAACCAAAACCCTCTAGATTACCCTGTAACAGAACAAGAATTAACAGAAGTCCTCCAGTCCCTGAAAGGAAAAAAAAGGCTTGTGGTACTGATGGAATCCTCAACAAAATGATCAAATACTCAGACCATAAAATCAGATTGGTACTTGCTGCCACGGTAGAAAAACTAAAACGGATTAGTATCGGATTAGTGTTATAACATGAAAAGTTAGGGTTTCACGTTGTGATGACATACAAACTTATCATATTATAACAAGAAATGTTCTTGTTCTAACAATATACTATTGATCATGTTATGATGTGAAATTTATCACATTATGACATGATAAGTTTATTGTTATAACATAAAACCTTTCATGTTATAACATAATAACTTTGTCTGCATTGTTATAATATGAATCTCATATTTGAATGAGGAAAGGTGTGCGCAGAACGGACAATTAAAGGAATATGGCTCATTTACAGGATTTGATTAAGTTCCACTTCATGCTTGGATTGAGACATGGCGAGATTTTGCAGTTACTGAGCACTGTGGATAATATTGCAATAAGTATGCGCACTCTCAGAAGGATTTTAAAATGCAAGGGGCTATACAGAATGAAGAATGAGTCCAACCCTCAGGCAGTAGCATCATTTCTCATTGATCAGCTGGAGGGGCACGGAAGGTTCCACGGATACAGGCTACACCATCTCTGCTGCATCCAAGCTGGGTATGTTGTGACCCAAAGGACAGTGAGGCATTTGTTAAAGTTTCTAGACCCCTGTGGTGTTGAGCAGAGACGGAGAAATCGCCTGATGCGACGCCTATATGTTAACAATGGGCCTAATTTTATGTGGCATGTTGACTCATACGAGGGGCACACAGACTGACTGCTGCTGCAAAAAACAGCTCTGCTTGCTTCATCACTATTTTTATATAGACTACACAACATTTTAAAGCCAAATTTACACTAAAATATAGACAAGCAGCCACAAACTATGGAGAAGCTATCTAACATCTTCAGAACAGTCTACAAAAATAGGTGTGCTACAAAAGCCCAATGACACCTTGGATAGATTTTCATTGATTGACAACACAATGCTGCAGAAGCATATGAATTCTCATGGATTCATTCATGAGATTAATGTATTAAAGAGCATGAGTTCATTCAGATAATGATTCATGAATTATCAGGAATGCACAAGAATTAATAGCATCTCATGCATGACTAAATGCAAGCTCATAATGTTAATTAATGCAACAACTAGGTATTTCAATCAGCATGATTTCTGAGTTCTTAACGATGTTTGTGAATCTTAATTAAGTCTGCAGTTAAAGGGACAGACTGTAAAACTGACTAGTCACAGCAGTGCACTGTTGAACATGACATGCACTTACAAAAAACAAAACATACTTTAACTTTAAGCTTTTAACATTATTAATAATGTAAGCAGTAGTCATCTTACTTTTCACAACACATTGTTGATATAATGTCCACTCACCAAGGGAGCATATGTCTGCATGTATAATATTGACTCAAAATAGGAAGTGTTACATTGATCTGTGTTTTCACTGGTATTTTTCTTTTCTACAGGAACTACTGCAGCAAGTTGCACAAGATCACCTGAAAGAGGTCTCTCAGGAAGCAGTGGAGGCTTGTAAACTAGAGTGCCAACAGAGAGGACCTTATCCTTGCGATGAAACAGTTTTCAGCTTGTGTTGCCTTATAATGGCAGAGAACTTCTTACTCTCACCCACCACGGCAGATGAAGCCATAGAGCTATATCTCTTCTTGAGAGCATACATTCTTAAATACTACGCCAGGAATTCTGACCAGAGGATTAAGGCAGGGCTACATTATGTCAACTGATGTTGTGAGGAAAATATCCAAAACAAATAATCACAATGTTTCAGTGCAGAGTAAAAATAATGTGTGGTTTCCACAAAATATTTAACCTACCCTGTACATTTGGTCACTTTGTCACAAACCCCCGGTCGTGACCCTGGCCTGCCTGTTGCCCTGAGGCTGCTGGTGGGCGTGGTAATCTGAGCTCCAGGCTTTCCCACCTGAAGCACATCCGCAATCAGCACACCAGGGTCTCTGCCTGCAATCAACACACCTTTAAGAGATCTGCCAACCTTCCAGTCCCCGCCGGATTGTTGTACTTAACCGTATAGACACGCCAGCCAGTTTGTCTGTCTTAGTTTCAGTTTCAGTTTTTTGTCTGAACCTTCGTACCAGTGTTTAACTGCTCTCTCTTTGTCTCATCCTCAGGAAACCTGCACATGCACCACGCGGATTCCCTCCTGTTCCCCGGAATCATCTAAGCTCTGGGACCAGAACCGCAGACCCTCAGAACGACCACCTCACCCCAACCTCTCCCAGGACACCCCTTGTGCTTAATAAACCACTTCTGTGCATTTCTCTAGTCTGCGTTTGAGTTTCTGGCCCCCGGTCCTGACACACTTAAAACTATTGAAATGGGTTAAGGTCCCTGAAGTCAACAATTCAATTCAGTCCCACATGGCAGTTCATGTGGTGTCATCAGGGGAAGAGGTCCTTGCCTGCTGAAAATCTGAGACTGTTTTGGACCCACAAACAAATGAAACAAAGATAAAACATAGACTAGTGTATGTTAATGGTCTAAGAAGAGGATGTCCAAGTGCCTGATGCTGACCCGACATTTGACATATAATAGGATGCCATTTTGGAAGACCTCCCCTTAGTGTACTTTGAGATATGGTCATAGTGATCCAAAAGTGATTCTCATAAATTTGTGATTCTGGAGTGTCAAAAACATTTTTTCTTTTGATGTGAAGACCCCAGACTGAATGGTTGATGCAACTGAGTGGTTAGCCAGCTATGAGAGGAGCTTCTAAATCTAGGAGGGCTGCAACTAAGGATTATTTTCATTATTGATAAATATGTCAATCATTACTTCAATGAGGCGAGAGCGGGGATTGTTGGGTTTCGGTTCGGGGCTGCACTGAGCTGCCTCGGGGGTGTGTGGGGGGCCTAGGGCTCGGGGCTTTGGGCGGGTCTGCGCGATGGGGAGGCTGGGTCCCCCTGGACCCGTCCTGGGGCTGGGCGGGGTTGTCGTGGCATCCACCTGCTTAGGGGGGTGGGGGACGGGAATCTAGACCCAGTGGGTAGGACCATTCTAGCCTCCCTATGACCTCCTTCACCTTCCCCCCTTTGGTCATGTCTCACTACATACACCCTTAGGACTCTGGGGGACGGACAGGCTGCAGGGCATTTGGGGGGTGGGGCTGCTTTATTGCGGCCTCGCCCTTCTTCCTCCCCCACTGGCTGCCCCTCAATTTTAACTACACATTAGACACAGAGGGCTTGGAGGGTGGGAGGGGCACCTTGGGAGGCTCCACTACCTGGCAGTTGTGGGGTGCCTGTGTCACAACTACCCTCCAATTTTAACTGCACCTTAGTTACCACACACCTTATCTTTACTCCACCATACAACACTTCACAATCCATGACATGCATCCAACACAAAACAATATATTTACAGAGGCCCCCTGGCATGGGGGCCCACTCTGGACCTAGGGGTCTGGGGACTCGGGCTTCTGGCTTTTGCTCATTTCTGGGTTTTCTGGGATGTGTAGTGTGGGTGCGGGGCAGGGCTGTGCTCCGGTTTATTCTGGGCTTGTGCCTGGAGTTCTCGGCCCTTGATGGGTGGGTGGCTTGGTGGTGGCATGAAGCTGAGCTAGTTGATTTTGCCTCGTTGCTGGTTTGGCTGGCGTTGCACGGCGGCCTGGGGGCGTGCTGTGCGCCGGCGGCTAATTTTTCCGGCAGTTGGGGGGACAGCGGACTTTTATTGGTGGGTGCACGGTGGGTGCACGGTGTCCTGCACAGCGCGTTTGCTGCCGGGCTTTCACTGTCGTGTTCTGCCGCTGGCTCTCTCTCGTTTGCCCGACCTCGCACGTGGGATTCGCAGGGGGCTGCCGGGCATTGGGTTTTGCCGTGAATGTGTGTGAATGGTGAATGCAGATGTAGTGTAAAAGCGCTTTGAGTGGTCGAAAAGACTAGAAAGGCGCTATACAAATACAGAGCATTTACATGTTGTTTTTCTCCTCCCCAGGCCCCCCTCTCTGTTCTATTGCCGGTTTCGTTGCTTTCTGCAATTGGTGTTTCCCTCTGCTTTTCCCTGTTGTCCCCACCTTCCACCCCCCTTCTCTTGCAGGTGTTCTCCTTTCTCTGTGCTGTCTGTTTGTGCCCCCCGATCCCCATGCCGGCCCCTTGTCCGGCCCGGTGACAAATCACTACATAATTAAATAAATAATAAAACAGACAAAGGAGTATTTTAATACTCTCTTGTTAAAGTAAAATCTGTCTGGCACAATATGGTATCCAAGGCATCATACTCTATACCAGGCTGCTGGGCAGGACAGGTTAAAAAAAATAAAAATTATAAATCAATTATCAAAATAGTTGGCAATTAATTTAACATTTGACAACTTATGACTTAGATATAATGAGTTAACAGAAGAGGGATGAAGTGTTTGCCAAGATATTTCTAAATGTGCAACAGTGTGTTTGTTCAGTTATGTTTACTGATACCATTTGATTTGCACTTTCTGCTTCAGGGGAAAGGGCACCAAACACTCTCAACTTAAGGGTTCTTCCTTGTATTTCTCTAGGGGGTTGTGTCCTTTTATTTTTTTTATCAACAGTGTGAGACATTTTTCAATGTTGATACAACATTTGCCAACTCCCTGTGCTTTCAATGTGAATTCAGTTTGAATTTTATTTGGGATGACAAGATTCAAACTACCAACAGCTCCACTTATTAACAGATTTTTGTGAACTGCTAAAATATAAACAAATCACAAATGTCAATATTATGTAAGAATAAATAAATTCTTTTCAGAGATCAAGTAACTTCTTTTTTAATTATTTCATTTATAGAGAACAAAAGCGAAAGGTATTGATTCTTGATATGCTTTAATGGCTCAAGCTCCACCCCCTATAGATGTGTGAATATTCAGGTTGAAAGGTGCAACTGTGCATTTACTTTTGTATTTATGTAGTAACCACATGTAGAGCAGCCATCAAATTCACAAAGTGATGTGTCTACCCAAAAACTCAAGTCTGAAACCACAGCCTGCTGTTAAGGTCAGTGCAATTACTCCAACTAAAACTACAGCAGTACAAATACAAATCATCGCCCTTCACCAACCCACACAATCATTCTCTCTCTCTCTCTCTCTCTCTCTCTCTCTCTCTCTCTCTCTCTCTCTCTCTCTCTCTCTCTCTCTCTCTCTCACACACACACACACACACACACACACACACACACACACAAACAGATCTTGTACTCATTGCTCTCTGTGGGAACTCATCAACAGGTAACAGTAACAGCTTTAAAAAAAACAAAAAAGAACATGAATGTTTTGAATAAACAGCAACAAATAAACCTTAACATCCTTCTCAGTCCTGCATCATCCAGTCCTCTGATGTACTGTTGCAGAAAACGAAAGCTCTGGTTCTCTGCTTGCGGAGGAGATGCATCCAGCAACATCAAAAACTTCCTTGTTGTTGGCTTTTTATCTTCATACATTTGCAGGATATGTTGTGGGCTCACAAATGCTTCTTTTAGGAAGTGGCTAGCAATTAATGACATTTTTTCTGCTGCTCTTGGTTTTTGGATCAACTGCTTGTGTGCCACTTTTAGAAGGATGCCTTTCAAATTGTCTTGTTTGGATCCAAGCGGTCCACTCAAATGTTACTTACATGTTCCATGCATGAGAGCCACTCTTCTGATAAACCGCGATTTCGTAGAAATTTCAACAGTGGGGTATCCGTGTTGCAGGCCATTGTCATGCCAGTTCATTGCAAAAGGTCAAGTGCCTGTTCACAACTGGAGTATCATGGGAAATCCACCTCTGCCTGAGACCAACCATAACTTGAAAAGTTTAAAGACAAATATATATTGATATAACAAGAAACAGTTCTTGTAATAACGTGATAAGTTTGTATGTCGTAATAACGTAAAAAAAATATTGTTATAACAATAAACTTATCATGTTATAACATGAAAAGTTTCACATTATAACGTGATAAATAGTATATTGTTATAACAAGAAATGTTTCTTGTTACAACGTGATTTGTTTGTATGTCATAATAACGTGAAAATATCTTGTTATAACGTGAAAATATCTTGTTATAACAATAAGCTTTTCATGTTATAACATGATACTGATCCGTTTTTCTCTTTCTGCCATGGCAGCAAGACGCTTCCATAGATTGGCTATACTAAAACTATTCAATACTATTCTAGCAATTGGAACTTTTACAGACATCTGGAACAAATGTTTAATAACCCCAATTCATAAATCCAGAGATAAATATGACCCAAATAACTACAGAGAAAAATGTGTATCCAGTAACCTGGGAAAAATATTCTACAACATCATTAATAAACGACTTGATGACCACAATATTCTGCATAAATGCCAAATTGCTTTTTTTTTTTTACCAAACTGCCGCACAACAGACCAAATATTTACCCTCCAGACTCTAATTGATCAAGAATTAAACATTAAGAAAAGAAAGGTATATGCCTCTTTTGTTGACTTCTGAAAAGCCTTTGATTCCATCTGGCACTAGGGCCTTTTCTATAGGCTACTTGAAAGTGGCATTGGAGGAAAAAAATATGATTTGATTAAGAACATGTATACAAAAAGTGAATGTGCCATAAAGATTGGAAGCAAACAGCGTTCTTCTCCCAGGGCCGGGGAGTGAGGCAGGGATGCAATCTCAGTCCAATTCTCTTCAATCTATATATCAGTGAATTAGCGAACCAACTAGAGCGTTCCATGGCACCTGGCCTCACCCTGAACGATACAGAGATCAGAGGTTTGCTGTATGCAGATGACTTAGTGTTGCTTTCACCTACTAAAGAAGGTTTGCAGCAGCACCTTAATCTCCTGCAAAATTTTGCCAGACCAGGGCCCCAGGCATGTACTGGAACTGAAATTCAGCCCATGACTTTGAGACGGAGAGGCCTTTTATGTGAGAGCCCTTTTGGGGTGGAAATAAACATTTATTATTTTATCAGTCATTTTAATACGTATTAGTGTTTCATCACAAAGCCCTACCATACCAGGAGCTGAAACCAGAGAAGAGTCCCTTCAGCCAGCTGGTCCTGAGGCTCTCTGCAGTAACAAGTCCCCAACAGCCTCAGGACAGCAACACCAACTCAAGCAGACCAAACCAAATTATCAAAGCCGAAAGAAAAATATATTGAATACTGGAAAGAAATTACCAAAAAACAAAGTAAATTCCAATGTTATCTGTCCCTAAAAGGAGAATTCACACTGGGAAATTACCTGAAAACAATAAAATGTCCCAAACTAAGAAAAATGTTGACAACTGAGTGAACACCTCGCCATAGAACAGGGTCGC